TTCATTCTAGTACGATCATGATGTTATTTCTGGCGCTCCGTTAGCTAACTGAATAGCTAACGCTGTATGCATGTATAATGTTATTTTAAGAATATTTTGAATGTTTTTACTGCTGGAATTGATGTTCTACAGAAAACAAAAGATTTTCATTTAAACTGACTGGAATAATTTCCGACGATCATTTTTCCAAAATGAATACCTCGAAGAAAACAAAGAGAGAAAAGAAAAGAGATAGTATAGTCAAAGACTCGAAATACATACAGAGAACATAATTGTGTAACAAATTCTTTTCTTTCTATTATATTTTATTTTCTAGAAAAGAAAGGTTGGATAGTAAAAAGAAAAATACTTGAAGAGAGGAAATCGTACAGTGTATAAATATAAATTATTCCAGTCAGTTTAAATGAGGTCTTTTGTTTTCTGTATATATCCTTGACAATGATTTTTTAATAAATCGAAACGTTGGGAATTAAAAATGATTACAACCGTCGCTTTAGTTAAACTTTTCCTACTAAAAAGAATTTGACCACAACGGTTTTGAATATACTCTATATATGTATACTATTCTAAATTAGAAGTGAAATAAACTCCTAGATACTTGTGATGCGGCACATCAAGCAAAGCTATTTTGTTGATGACAAGAGGATGTTTCGATCTATATACTGGATGTTTAGAGAAAGTCATCGGCTCACACCTTTTAATATTTCAGTCAAGTTGCCAGAACTTAGATGAAAGATAAATCATTTCGGAATCTGCATTTGAATCATTTGTCAAAGTGCATAATGATGAGCCTTTCGTATGCAAGAAAGCATCATCAGCAAATGCTTTGAGACTCAGAACGATGTTATCAATAAAAACTAAGAAGAGGAGATGTCCTAAGATTGGAACTTCTGGCACCTCTCTATTTAATCAAGCACAAGACTTATTACGATCCACTAAAGTAATTCTAGTTCTATCACTAAGATAGGATTGAAACCAGCGTAACATTGTCGGACACTCCTTTCTGTTCTGATAGACTGAATCGAGTGTTTTCTTGATATTCAAGAAAATAACTCGAGTTATTTCTCCTTCTTCAACATCAGTTTCTGTTACATGAACTATGTCGATTTATTGACGAGCCCTTCATCCTTGTATGTTAGGTCCTCCAGTTAGACTGGAGAGTTGCTAACAAAGTATATTTGTTGTAAAGTATTTATGTAGTTGCCTATGTACTAAAAGCTTAATTACTTTTGACGAAACCGGTAAAATGCGAATAGGACAATAACTTATGGAAATATACCTATATGATCAACGTTGTAAATGAATGGAAATAAAGATTCGTCAAAAGATTGATTCAAACATTTGCTGAACATTCACTCAAAATAAGAAATCCTTCTTTGACTACGCCAATAGTTGAAGTTAAGCTACACACCTTATTCCGATTTAACTTGAAAAGAATACCGGTTGAACCGGTTTAACTTCTATAATGTCGAGTCTCGCATGGAAATGGTAAAAATGCTAAACGACAAATTGAAGATGAAAGAAGAATAGACTTTTCTTCGAATCAATCAGATCACGTGTAGTATCACATGTATACTCAAGAGAAACACTCTCATCTTCAAACAATGACACAATACATGAACACTCTCCATATAGCATGCGCTTTTTCTTTAGATGCCAAAGCTGACTGATGATCGTTGAGATGATCATATGTGTTACCCATATTGTTATGAGTTGACGCTGTGTCAGGATGATGTTTGGGTAACACCTTTTCTCGTATACAAAGACATTTCTTATAATACTGCAAAGCCATCTCATACTCTTGTTTCTCGTCATATGCACTACCCATGTTGTGATAAACAAGGGCAACATGAGCATGTTCTTCTCCGTATGCTTTGAGATTAACCTTCAATGCCTTCTTATAATATTCAAGTGCTTTATCGGACAAACCTTTATCGTCATATGAAACACCGAGACTCATGTAGTCCGTGGCAATGTTTGGATGATGAGGAGATAGTGTTTTGAGATCCATCTCAAGTGCTTTCGAATAATATTCAAGTGCCACATCCATCTCTCCTCTCTCTCTAGCAACATATCCAAGTCCAGTATAGCTGGCACTGCTGTTTGGATCTTCTTCCAAATGTCTGTTGAAAAATTCTATAGCCTTATTATATTCACCCATTCTACCCATCAAATTTCCCAATGACACCAGACTAATATGTTCTCCCATTTGTTGTCGATAATAATCAAACTCATCTCTCAGCTCATTCTCATTCTCACTACACATTGTCAGCTTTATCACCCACATTTCTTTCTCATCATCTAATCTCACTTCATCAATGCGAAAGATCGCGCCGAGCATAATCAACACTTCTTGCTCTGCATCTTTGAAATAACTCAAGTGAGAGATGTCAGAGTAGGGCTTCGTCTCCACACGAGTATCGATTTTGATTCGAAACATCACTCGATGAAGATCAGCTGTTAGTCCCTTTGTCTTGGTGAAGTTCAATGCCACTGACTTGCTTCGAGATGTCGAGAGAAGCGAGTTCATTGACAGATACTCATGCACACGCTCTCTCATTCGAGTCAGCTCTTCAGTGGACATCACTTGTCCTCGATACACATACACATGTGGCTCGTTTCTGTTGAGAGAATCGAAGAAGCGCTGTTGTTCACTTTTCAGTTGTTCGTAGATGTCTTTGATGAGAAAGCGAAGAGAGAAAAGAACATCGAAATCTTGACATCTGAGAGCTTTGTTGAGTACTCGATAGATGCACGTCTCTCTCGTGTACCACCACACTGCTTTGTGAGGCTTGTATGTCTTTTCGAACTCATCGAGAAGAGCTGATTCTCGAGCATTTCCATCGTAAATTGTCTTGCACGTATGGAGTAGTTCACTTTTCCCTTTTGCAGAATGTTCGATTCGTAGAAGAACGTCGATGAATAACTGGAACCACATGAAGGAACCATTCAAGGATGTCGATGATTGTTGAGCACGAGTGAAGAAGGCCATTGGTGTTGACTCATTCTCCATCTTCTCACGCATCTTCTGATCAGTCAACACTTGTTTCACTAGCTCATCACTATCCATAAACATACCACTGACCTTGAAACGACAGGAGTCTCATTAGGAAAGAACTGAATGGATTTATGTATCCGTGAAGGAAAGTGTTGACATTACTAAATACAGGAGAATAGCTGATTGAAAAGAATTTTCTCTTTTGATGCATTATTATCATTCCTTACATTATCCTCATCTTACCTTTTTGTACTTTCTTGTCCATGTCTCGTGGTATGACTTGTTTCCACAGAACACATAAATGCAAACCAGATGTCGAACATCATGGATGATGGGAACGACTTCTCTTCCTAGACTTCCAGATACAATCATCACCACTTTCTCATCCTTGACATTTCTTGTATACTCGACACATTCATCGGCACTGTCAAATGTGTTGAGATAATTGATTGATTCACGTAGCTTGGCTTGTGTTTTCATATTATCATGTGTTGTATTGACATTTGCATCAAGCCACACGAGTGAGAATGATTCGAGATTGTGTGACATGATAGTCGACTGACGAAACTTAGTTACAAGATACTTTACAATGTCATTAATCTAACGACGCTCACTTGTTGACAGACGTGTTTGTCATTCAATTTGCAAACTTCGAATGGGTAAGTGTTGTATGTCATACTAGTAATGTCAATAGAATTATTTTTTTCTCAAAGCAAGAAGAAGCAAAACGAAAACAAAATTTCATTTTAATTTCTTTTCTTTTGAATTTTTTTTCTAACAACAGTGAAGAAAGAAGGAGAAAGAGAATCCATCTTTTACTTGACGTTTATATAATGTGTCGTTGAACAGTTGCACATTAGATCGACATATCGACCATGCTGGATCTCAAAGCAATGTTGGTTTTCAGGAACAGTCGAAACTTCGTTTAGATGAAACAACTGATTTCAGGCTGATTTCATGAAAAATTATACGTCGGATTTTTCCATCAACAGGTCACTGTCACCGGGATATCTCATGTGAGGTTACTGCTATGTTTTGCTGAATCTATCTTCACTCGATTTTGTTTCCTAAGCTGATATAAAGTTACAGTCTATCTGAAAACCGACAAGACGTTGGTTAAAGACCAGTATTGAGTTTTTAGGTGAAAGATACTTCTTTTCGTTAGTAGTCATCATTTACAATATCTGTATCTGAATAGAATAAATGGTCCTCAGATATCCGTCAGACTGGCTTCTACCAGCTTCAAGGATGTTTGACGCGTTAGGACTCTCCTACCATGGAATTCTTCTGTGTAAGTTCCCAAACATCTTTATTATAGCTGAAGAAAAAACAAACAAATATCGTGATTTTAATTCATGCAATTGAAACAGTATGAGACAACAATTCTCTGCATCATCGGATGACTTTCTGTTGATCGATGATGTGGATAGTGCTTTGAACACTTTCAAAATCTTAACTCAGACCCAAAAGGAGAGAAAATTTTGTTCAGAGAGTGCGAAGTAGCTGAGCTGTTTCAACTAACGCCTTCAACAGAAGAACCAACTATCATAAGTGGTACTCGTTTAGATAATATTTTTTTCGAGCTTGTATTATAAGCAAACTCGATTATTGTTGTCTCGTCTACGATAGCAATTGTTATGCCAAAACTCTTGACAAAATTTTGAAATTAGCCGCAAGAATGATTTCCAAAAAATTCGACCGATCGGTGTCAGAGTTAATTCAAAAACTAAAACTCCCCGATTTGTCGTTAAGAAGAAAATACTTTCGTTTGATTCATTTCTATAAAGTAATGAACAAGTTATCGCCGCTTTCAGTTTTTGATCAACACCGCTGACGGATCGTAGAACAGAGCGTCTGAATACAAGTACAGTTTTGAAACACGTAAGGGCAAACACGAAGCCAGTCGCGGCACCGAGTCTTACAAAAAAACGGATAGCGTCAGCTTTTTTCTATCAGACTGCCGACGATTGGAACGCCTTACCAGAAACGGTTGGTACTCTAGGTCAGTTTAAAGCGACGCTGAAAAATCATTTGCAAATTTAAGGTGTTTTCTGTGGGTTTGTTTTTATTTCTGTACTCTATTCTGTAAGAACATATCTATAGGTATAAGCGTGTATTCTCTCTTTTGTGGTGTTGCTTCTCCAGGTGGCAGTGTGTATAAGTATTTTTTATTTTTTCTGCTTTCCTACAGCAGCTCATTTTCGTAAAGTCAGCTTTGTTTGTAAAATAAAATCAAGTTCAAGTTCAAGATATCAGCTGACATAACATTTCATCTTCAGTTGTAGGCAATTTCTTTGCTTTTAAATTTTGTTTTTGTTCTAATGAAGTGCTTTTCTGAACCGGCTTTACCTTATTGGCAGCGTGCTCCTCCTTCTCCTTCATCTGACGTACTGTTTCTTCACCTGTTAAAAGCTGTCCTGTTTCACCATCCAGATTTATTTTCGTAATTGGTGGCTGTTCAATGACCGGTGGACGCATGAACCGAACAGCATTACGAATTGCTGCTCGAGGACGCAATGGAAATACTGATGTTGTATAATCACTTCGATTATAGATTCTGATGGTCGCAATTTCTTTTAACGCCCTTTATTTTTCTTTAGTAAATTCGCTAAATGTATTCAAAACAGTTGACACAGAATTTAATATGTGTCACACACACATATATTCTGTACTGTAGTATACTCAATGACTTTTAGATAAAATTTTTCAATTCACTTCATTCTTTCCTAAAAGCAATCTCAATTTCTTGACGGGATCTTGAGGTCATTAAATTTAATATTGCACAATTCGGGTAAAAATCTATGTTTTAAAATTTTTCTTTTATTCAAGAGATAGAGGGGTATTTGGAGAATATGAAAAGCTGAACACATTTTTAATTTCACAGTTATTACAGGTACCACGTTAATTGGACTGTCAAAAATCAGGTACAAAAATGTGCAAAAATTCAGCAAAATTCATCAGACGGCTACAAATCGCCAGAACCATGTGATCCTGTTCCAGTTTTCATTTCATATAATAGAGAACAATCTCGTCTATAACTTCTCTATTTGTCATTGATGTAAAATCGGTCTCTGGAAGCCGGTGGCATTTCAACTCTGACTTTTCCGTGCGAATTATACGGACTGACCATTTAATTATTTTACTTGAAATTTCTCGTTGAAACTACGTTAACTTAAGATTATCACAGCCATCTTTGCTGTATTATACCCCAACGGTATACGTTGGTTGACCGTAATTACCTCAATGGAGGAGTTATGATCCATCGGAAGGTGCTCTCTGGAAAGTGATTAGTACTAATTAAGGCTAATGAATTTTAAAATTTTTTTTACATGAATCGATAGCCAGAAATCAGCGCTATTTACCTGTAAAATATCGCTTTTCCAGGATAAAAATCGAGCGAACTACAGCAGAAATACGACAAAATTTTGAGATCTGATCATAATTATCCCAAGGCACTGTATAACTTTTTTATATAATCTACGATGCAAAAGTAACTCGACAAATGTCTCTCCATTTTTCTTGTGGGCAACCACGTTCCGAGAATATCAAAAATAGTTATTTTGAATGTATACTGCAGGAGCTTTCTAATTATATGTTCAGAAATATTCTACCACTTTTAGTCTTTTGGCAGTGTCCGAATCTTTGTTACCTACCTCACCAAACATTTAGGCTGCAACGATGAAAATTTTGGATATTTTTTCATTTTGACAATAACCACTTCAAATTGAAAGATTAAACTTTGGGTTACTGACTAGTTTATAAAGCAGAATTTTCTCTGTCAACCAGACGACCTTAGATTATTATTGCATTGCAAAACTGATCAGACTTTTAATTTTACCAAAGCCTGCCTGCTTTGTGAAAAATTGTGTTTTTCTGAAATCCGTTTTGGGTAAAAAATGATGTTAAAAAAACGCGAATAATTTCCGACCGTTATGTCGTGTATCCTATTTTAGCATCTTATTGTGTAGATAATTGCCTGTTCTATAATCTTATGCCATAGAAACGTTTTATTAATGTACTACAAAGGGTTTATATAAGGAATACCAGTACTGAGCGGGGTGCATGATGGGGTGAAAGGGGTCACACGCTTTCCTGCTCTGGAAAAATATATTTTCCGTCTGGCCGGAGGAACATTTTTATTGCGTTCTGTTGCAGAAAGGAAGGGTAAAGAAAGTTTATCCACAAGAGACCTTTCTTGGTTTTTGATTTTGCTAAGCCCGTGACTTACATTTGTCGAAAAATACCAGATTTTCTTTTTTTACAAACGTTTTTTAGGACATAGCAAAGCTTCGCTCACTCTGAGGAGGCTAAAAACGTTAGAAAATTTTTGAACACACAGTTCGAAAGCTTCTTAAATGTAGATTCTCAACAGATTTTTTTCATTTTTCCGAAATGTATTTTATCACAAGACAAATGGAGAGACATTTTGTCCAGTTACTTTTGTATCGTAAGTTATGCAGGAGAATTCTTCAAAATAGTAACAATTTCTTATCAGTCGGACAATGTAAACTAAGGAGAAGAGAAAAAGAAAAAGACGGAAAAAATATACTTTTGTCTTTATTTGTCTCTTGCTTTTTATTTTGTCGTCGAAAGTACCCTTGGGGTGAAATTGCAAAATATTATTTTGTCATAGTTACGCTAAGAACAATAAAAACAGCACCTATACAAAGAAAAATATACAACAAATTCCACGTGACGAATAAGTTGAAAAAACCTTTAGAATGAAACACTAAACAAAATCTAAAATCAAAAGAATAATCTAAAGTAAATTTAAGTACTACATTGCGGAAATGATTAAAAACTGAATTCCAACTGGAGGAAGAGTACATTGCTTCATATCAATATATTTATAAAATTGATTTTTCTTTCAAATGGTTCTGATTACACTAACTAAGAATCCCGCCGAAGATTCTTGCTCCATGTGACATTATTAATTGATGTCGTCTTCGAAGATGATTGGTTAGAGAAAAATAGCTTTTTTCTTCGCGTTTAATTTTCTTCATAATATATGGTTGCTTCATGTGGGTTAACAGTGATATACCTCTGATAGATATACTCAATTTAAATTGTGGGTGCGCAAAAACTTAAAGCTCGTTAAATCGCTAGTAATAGAAAGCTATTCTCGAGACCAGCACCAAATATGTCATAGTACATGAGTAAATGAAGAACCAAAACTACATCATCATACATCGACTACTTTGTCGAAAACTTGTCTCAAAACTTGTGATTTAAAAACTCGATAT